AGACAAGCTTGAGAAAAATAACAGGAACAAAGAAAATGGGGAAATATCAGCAAATAAACATGGCACGGAGATGAGAGCTAAAATTGTCAGTGAACTATAAATGCAAAGTTCCATTAAAATTTGTCATTATAAATATTTATAAAATAATTTTTTCACCAAAATAATGTCTTTTTTTGGAAGTATGATCGTCTTTTGGCAAATAGTTCAATATGCAGCCTTCTGTGTAATTTTAATTTCTTTTTTTGTCCATCTCTTTTAAGTATTAAAACAAGCATTTAAATTAGATACATTAAGTTTAATTTCAGCATGAAAACTTCCAAGAACTTCAGTCAAAAACTAATATAAATACAAAATATTAAAGCATACTTTCCTAAAGGCATTGAGTGTGCCATATTATCAAAGAGCTCAAAAATGAGCTGTTCAAATTAAAAAAAAAAATTGTCAGAAATACTGAATTTAAAACTCCTATTTACCCAGAGTCCTGACAAGTCATGAAATATTACCGTAAGGGAAGCAATTCAGGTTATTTGGGCAACAAAGTTTCTTTTTACATTCACATTAACTGGACACAATGTAGGGGTTTTTGTTCTATTTTTTAATTGTCACAGATTCACAGTCCTGCTTTCTGAAAAGATTGCAAATCCAGACATCAAAGCTTCTGTCATTTGCTAGATACTAAAAGCACTTGTTTCCAAGTATGAAGAAATAATTTCTAGATGACACACTGAGGTTTTAAAATGAAGCCAATCAGAAATAAGATGGAAGTTATTAAAATCTGGTAGTTTGAAGAACAGACTAGTCACAATAAATTATCTGAGTTTAGAAGAATTTTCAATTCAAAAGTAAATTTACATAAAACAAATTGTGTGTTAGTAAGGAGATATGTGCCTATAATTTGTTTAATATGTTTTTTATATTTTACTGCAAAATGTAAATTGGGAGGTTTGATTGCAAAATGGCATTTCAGTCACCACTGAATGGTGACTGGGTAGAAAAATTAAACTCTGCTAATCATTCTTGTAGGTCTGATAATATGCTCTTGGGGATGATACTTCTCATACACATAAGCCAGTGCTTCTGAGAACTATGTACTTATATGGAAGTTTAGCTTTGACATTTTCCAGGCTGGGGTTTAGAGCATGGAAAGAAGATTGTGTTATTTTGCAGAAAGTAAGATGAACAACACTGGTACTGGTGTATACAAAATGCAGCATGAGCTGATAAGAAACAGGGATGGAAGTAGCTTGTCTGAATGCAAGCCAGAAAATGGGGGATGACATTACAGCTGGTACTTCAGCCAAGTGAAGAAAGTGAGGTATATATTAAAACAGTTGCAGGTGGTGTTTACAAGCTTTGGTTGCCTGACTAATGGGACCTACAATCTACAAATTTTATCTTAGGCTTAAGAGAAACCTTGTTGAAGGAGCTACTAATGTTGTGCAGCTTCAGTGTCAGTCTCATCTCTTCTTTCTTTTTCTTTCTCTCCTTTTTTTTTTATTCAGAAAGCAATGCAATGAAAGAAAAACTATCAGGGAAAATAAAACTGTTTTCAGTCACAAGAAGAATTCTGATAATTGAGAAAAGACAGTAAAGACAGTATATATTCCAACAAACAACCTTCAGAGTGATTTTCATGTAAATGAAAGGAAGAGAAAGCAGAAGACAGCAGAGTGGCAGAAGGACTATAAAAGAGAAAGGGCATATGAGGTGGAGTGACAGCTTGGTATAAAAGCCGGAGAGCACCTGGCAACCAATAATGCACACAGAAGAAGGAAAAAAAGAGTGTGCTAGCTTAAGAAAAACAAAAAAGGAAAGAGAATAAGTAAAAAAAGCCTACTCAGAGTTTGGAATTATATTTGTTTATTTTGCATAATGTTCAGTACAACAATCCAGATAGTTGCAAAAACACGTTTTCATTGCATGGAGACTGATTTTCTAAAGAAAAACAAATTGCTCCCTCTCTCCCTCCCATGATTATATTCTAAAATGGCTGGAAATATGCTTAAGTCCATGTGAATAAAAAAAAGAAAAAAAGCAGATGCGATTCAACCCTAAATTATCTTCAGATTCTCTCATTCCTTCTTTTACTATTTACACATGTGGCTTTATACCCATAATCCTTCCAGTTTCTGATCATCAACAGACAATGCAAGTGGCAAATATACTGAACTGGATTTACTGTTTTAAGGACTGTTCAGAAGCTTCACAGACAGCAGTATCAGTCTTTGCTACAGTCTTTATTATGCAAAATTATTCAGCATCTCTGGAATAATTAATATAGGTAAATGGGACAACAGGCAGGCCACTCTTCCCCCTTGCCTCTCCTTTTCTTTATCTCATTTTTTCCCCTTCTGTAATTTAATTTCAGGATGAATTAAAACCAGCTGTGACAAAATCTTGCAAATGATAGTGCCTATAAAATGTACTCATTGCCAGACTCCAAAACTATTCTTCCAATTTTCCAACTTCATATTTCAAATAATTTGCTTTTAGTATATATGACTACCCATTCTTTCCTGCAAGAGGAGGGTCATTAAGAAAACACATCAGTTCATAGAAAGGCAGCTTGCAAAAACCAAAAATACTGGTTATTTTATGAAATAAAATAGTGGTTATTTTATCATTCCTCAAGCTATGCACAAGATAATGGTAATGAAAGCTTGGAATGGGGGGATTTGATCTCTTTTGCCTTCAAAGACTGAAATGTAACATGAAAACATAGGTCTCAGGAGCCTGTTATTTCCATTTTCTTAATTTTCAGTGTCTTTTTGGATGAAATCTTGAAAGGCAAAATCTGAGTAAACAAAAATACACACAATATTGCGGACTTTTTCTAGTGCAGAATTTCACAAGCTTCATTAAGCTATGAGCTTAATAAACTGTTTTCAAGATCTAATTTGTGTGTATGCAGAAAAAATTGTGTATGTAGATCCAATTTGTGTGTGTGTGTGGAGACAAAAAAGTAGACTTCAACAATGACAAAGTACATGATTTAATCTTTTGTTTTACTATTCTGAAAGAGACAAAGCATATTTCAGTGTTACAGCTGCACAATTCAGTAACAGAATGGATTTAGAGATGCAAGTCTGGGGTTCCTAAATAGCTTTAGATTTACACTGCACAAGCCATTCTTTATGGTCCCCCAAAAACAGTTTGAAATCATAAAACCAGTCCTGGGTCTTCATATTTCAGAGGAAAAACCGCCACTGATTTCAGCACAGTAAAGCTGAAGGCTTGAAGGCTTAATTTTGAATTATTTGCTATGAAATAATTGAGTTCTGCAGCTGTATGCCTCACTTCTAGAGTCAGTACTGCCAAATAAAAGATACATAAAGGAACTGCCTGACAAAACTATGCAAGGTTTTATTTTGAAGGAAAACTGTTCAGGTGCACATTTGCAAAGCAGAACCTAAGCTAAAAATAAATCTAAAGAAATATTCCTTATCCTGGAAACTCAGTGATTCCAAAATAAGGGTTACAACCCAGCTAAAGCCCCAGCCTTTCATCAGAGTGATCCAGGAACGTAATGGCAGGAGAGCAGGATGTACTCTGTCTCACTGCTCTTAACATACACAAGGGCAGATCAGACACAGAAAGACCCAATGTGCATGCAATGCCTAACCAAAGCAAAACAAATGGGGTTCACTGTCATCCAGTTATTTTTTAATTAGCCTTTAGCAGTCAGTATCTCTTTGTTTCTTACCTTTTTTCTTTTTTTTTTTTTTTTTTTTTTTTTTTTTTTTGTCATAGGGCAGAGCTATGGCCGGCAACTTGACTGGCAAAAATCAAACTTCCCATTCCTTACACAGATGTAGTGTAGCTGAAATTCCTCAGAGGAAAACTGGACTGCTAATCTGCCAGCAAATCATTTTATTAACTACACCAGTTTCTGTCAGCTAAGGAAGGTGAAGGCTAGACTGATGAGGTATTTCAGGAACTCAAATGATACAATCAGAAAAAATTTCAGAGGAATCACAGAATTACAGAATATTCTGCATTGGAAGGGGCTCACAGGGATTATCAAAGCCCAGCTCCTAAAGAACTGAGAGAAATTTTACAGCATAGGAGACTACAGCTCAGATAGAAGCAGTTTTTTTCATTATGAACTGTGGTCTATTGAAGAAAAGATAAGCTAAATATGAGCAAATATATTCCTTTTTTTTAAAGTTAAACTTTTAAACTTTTTAAACAAAGCATGTATTGAAAGGCTTCTGAATATGTCCCTATCAGGCATGAGAAAGCTTGGCCCGGTGTACGTTTGATTTCATTTTCCATCTTTACTGGTAAAACTGACATTTCTCCATGTAACTTGAGAGCCTTTACTATTCTTGGCACCCAATAAAGCTTTCCATATGAAAGCCTCTATTTCAATTTTCAACAGTGAAAACACACTTTCACTTTGTTGAGACAGAAGTTGAAGTTTCTTACTTTATTGTATTGAAAATTATATTTGCCACATATTAAAAAAACCAGCAAGAGCCTTTGGAAATGCCAGAACACTGATACAGGCTATGTAAAACTGCTTTTCTAGGACACACAACAGAATTAAAATTCTATGAGGGCAGAAGTGAACAGAAATATACAGAATCATAGAATTGCGGATCTTCTACTAACTTGTCTTCAATTAACAGCTTAATCCTCCAGCCTGACAGACTACCCAACGTGAACCAGCTGGTTACCAAAGCCCTACTGGGAACACAAGATGTCTTGATTCTGCAGGAGAGGTTGTAAAGAGCAACCCTGAAGTTTCATTGACTCTCTATTTATGATGGCTGTGAATGCAATCCCTTCCAGACAGTTTTAGCATAAGGCTATGCCGTAATCTCTCCACATTTCAAGAAACCGGCAAAGGTTTGCCTATGGTTTTGGGTTCTGTGGTATGAAAACAGTTTAGATAGCTACAAGATTCTCACTATCACTTCACCAAATTATCTGCAGTAATATGAACACGATTATCATATGAGATTAATTGTATCACATCAAAGCTATACTTCACTTACCACATTGCTGCACGTCCTGTACCGGATGTTCCGCCCTTCACAGGTCCTGTGTCCAAAAATTAAAAACAAAACCAAAAACATTAATAGCTGAATATAAAAAGCCAACATATAATGTTTACTGTGTCATTAACTTCCCCATATGTATTTTTAATCACCTACTCCCCTACCAGCCCTCTTCCCCAAAGTAAAAGGTTATCTGTCCCTATTGAGGTATGAAATCTACAACTCCTTAGTTTCCTACTTTCTAGAAGATAGCATCAGCTTGTAAATGAGATTAGAAGTGAGAATACAGACTTTAGCTGAAAAACAACATCTGAATGACTTGAATAATGTCTTGTGTCTCCATGCAATTCCTAATGATTTCACAAGGGCACAGCTCTGTGTCTACCCGGGCACACACTCCAGCACTAGCACAGTCTGAGCAGGCAGGCTTTGTCTTCTGGGGAAGAACTGGTCTCTGGGATGAAGGAACTATGCTTGCAGCAGCATGAACTCAAAGTATAGTTTGGGTCTGAAGGGGCCATCTACTTCCAATCCCACTGCCATTGACAGGGACACCTTTCACTAGGCCAGATTGCTCAGAGCCCCACTCAACCTGGCCTTGAACACTTTCAGGGATGGGACACCCAAAGCTTCTCCTGACAACTTGTTTCAGTGCCTGACCTTGTTTCAGTGCCTGACCAACCTCAAGTAAAATAAAAAAAAAAAAAAAAAAAAAATTAAAAAAAAAAAAAATTTAACTTAAACCTCCTCTCATTCAGTTTAGTTTTCCCCTCTTTCAGGCTACTGTGACATAGCTTTTTCCCACTTTGATATGAGGGAAGAAGGAGAACAAAAAGCTTCCCCTCAATTCACTGGTGCAGAACAGCATTCAAAGAGCAGCTGGGCCCAGTGAGGTCAAGGAGAGCACAAAGACTGATGTGTGCCCTTCATGGTTCTCCTCCTTTTGTCCCACAGCAGACCCATACCAGCCCTGATGTTGGCAGGGTTCCTAAAAGAAAGCTCAACAGACAGGTACCTTTTTAGCACTCAGCAGCAGGTACTCTGAGCGCCTGACCTTAGGTGAAGCTTCAGGTATTTTATGAGTCCAGACAGTATACTCTGCAGAGGCCCTCATGCAAATCAGAATGCAGAGTGTGGCTTTTAAAACGTATCCATAAAAAGAACAGAATTCCTAACATTTTTAATTTCCTAATTTCACAACTTTCCCCCCTCCCCCTTCTTTTTTTTAGGCCACAACTTAAGCACACATTTCTTCAGGAATAAATGCCTGCCAAACCTGATTCTTAAAATCCAAACCATTTTGAACTATCCAAGGGAAAGGACAGCAGCATCTGCACTGATTTTTCTTCACTTGAAAAAAAATATATATTTTTACAGCAGAGGAACTTTTCCTATACTGAGTTAACTCTAAAATTAATTGAACAAATTTTCTTTAAGTTATTGAAGTCATCCTCTCTGTCTTCATTATCCACAAGACTTAATTGTGAAATTCATCCAGTAGTCATTTACACACCATATCTCTAAATGACTACAAGAGGAGACAAACAAGTAAATAAACTTCATCATATTTTCAGAATAAATCTAAGCGGAAAGATAACACTTTCTGTTGTGTAGCATTTGCATATAAAAATTATATTAAAAGCATAACAGAAATGTCACTAATCACTATCACTGTGATAGTGACATTTCTATTAGCTACTATCACTAATTCAGTGATTTTGTAGCATTGTATATTTAACTCCAATGAATTCTTATCTCAGCCATGCACAGAAGTGAAAAATGTACACAGTGTACCTAGCAGTAGAAAAAAAAATTGTTTGGGCAGTACAATAACAAAAATTATATCCATAATAGACTATGAAATAAAAATCCCAACTAAAAAACCCAGTAACAACAACAAAACACCCAAGCAACACTCCCATCCACACAATTCCAGTCATTCCCAAGCAATATCGGCAAGCTCGGAAAAATACTTTGGAAACCTGCTTATATTGCATTCAATAGAAGTGCTTTGCTAATGATAGATAGTAAATAAAGCGGTAAATTATGCAGAATGCAGGCAGCCCTAGTGCAGGCGTCATTTACCACACTGAACAGCTTGTTCATCAGGCTTGATACCTGCCCCATGTGTCTCTCAGAAATGCCACACAAACCATCAAACATTACCTTGCTTGACACAGACTTGCTATTAGCACAATTTCTATTACTGTAACTGATTAATCTTAGAACCACTGAACATCAAGGAAAACTTCAGCTTCCTTTCTATCATGTGCCTCTCAGTTTCTTCTTCTTTTCATGGTTTCTTCATATTATCTGTTTTGAAATCAAAAAAACCAAAACTACTTAATTTTCACTTATTCTCCGTGTTAGGGAAAATAATAGGTTATTTCATTAGGTATATGAAAAAACAATTATTCCATTATTTTACTCCATTTTTCTTCTTCTGGCTAATGGCCAGGGACGTTCAGATAAAATGAGCAATTCTGGATGCAGCTAGTGCTCTTATGATTCATGAAGACTAGGAAACACTCTTGGAAAATTCCCCTTGTTTCCTCAGAAAGAACATTCTTTGGAGCTTGGTTGTTTAAACTCAGTAGTTTCCCAGTTATCACCTACCAGCCAAAAGTAGGTAACAGCTTTCAGCCTTACATGATATATTTTCACAACAGATTTGCATAGTAGTTTGTGTTTCGCATCTACCCTACCTCAGGACAGTACTTCAGATTCTCTTATGCACAAGCAACTACTCCGGAATTCAAACTCACGGGATTTGCACGCATATCTCAGCATGGACACTGTGCAGAATTCCACAGCACTGAGCTTTCAGCATGCAAGGAAGGATCATGGCAGACTACTGAGCCCATGTTGCGAGATACAGTCATCATTTATCCTCTGATCTCTTCAGGATATAAATGGCAACTCCTACCAACAAGGAGTACACACAGCCAGCAGGAAAACTCAGAAGTCAACCAATATGCCCAGTTCATCTTGAAGAGCACAGCAAGAGTGGGAGAAGTAAGCAGTACTTCAGCTGTCTCTGTTATCTACACCGCAGGGGATTTTTCAGTGGAAAAAGGTAGCTGAGGGTTTGGCTTGACAGGGAATTATTATCATGTGAATATGAAAGAAAAGCATACTGTTGGGAATCATGTTTCATTCCTTAAACTTAGTCACTTGTTTCCAGTAAAGTTTCTGAAAGAGGTTAACAACTTATAATATATTAAAATATTCTCTTCTCTTAATGTAAACAACCCAAACCCCTGGTATTTATTTCTCCAGGCTCCAGTTTGTAGACGGACTTAGTTCAAGTCCCCCCCTCTAAGGCCTCAAGTAGATGTGTATTTGTGCTCAGCTAGAGTTAGAAGCCTTGCAAAAATCCATGCCAGAATGAACAGCAACCCCCTGCCAAAGCTGCCTTTATCAGTAATTACCAAAGACTACGAAGAGATTTTCAGAGGAGACCTCATCAACTCCTGCCCCTCTCAGCAGTCATCAGAGTTTGAATTGCTTTACTTAAGAAACAAGTCTGCTCATAAACAAGCAACTAAGAGCCATGGGTGGGTTATTTCTGTGCATATGAATTTTTATGCAGACATTCAGTACAGGGTCCCAAAGTTGATGCAATATTGAATAATCTCCACTACTTCATTTTCACTACCCTTGATAGACACACTTCTGGGGCAGATTCTGGTTTCTGATTCTACTTGTGAGATAAATATGCTGTGGGTCTGTCTTTTCCCATGAGATCTTAGTCTGGCTGTGGCATGAAACCAGGCTACACACATGGGGGTAACATCATCTTGCATCTCCCTTTCCTCACACTGTTGCTCTCAGCTCTTTCCCAAATCTGGCACAGTGTTACGACCCCGTCATCCTCAATACAATTTGTTTGTGCTTCTCTGAGGAATAGTCAGTCTCTTTTACTCACCCAGCATACCCCTTTTCCTGTAAAGGAATTGAGAAGGAGGGCCCTGAACACCAAATTGTTGCTACGAGCAAGAAAGACGCATCAGAACTGAATTGACTTTAAGAAGTTTACCTTTGGAAACTATTTGGTTGGGTCTGCTAAACTCATGTCTAAATTATTGTCAACTGAGTAGCTGACAATAATTTGCAAAGAATTTAAAAGATTTTTCCACATCCTTTTGTTCACATGATGCCTTAAGTTTTAGCTGTCATATTTTCCAGATTCTGTGGTGCTTCAGTATACAACTCTGAACACCATATAAAGTGTTAGCAAGTTCTCAGTTTAGTCAGACAAAACAATCCTTTTCCCGCCTGAGAACCAAGGACACCTTTGCAAACTCAGGCCCAAAAAGTGTCAACAACAGCAAATTGAGGAGAGCAGTCTGGGAGGATGGGACTTCATAACCTGAAGCTGTAATTGGACAATAAAACCTAATATGTAAATGGACCAAAACTTATAAAAGTGTCAAAACTTGACTCATGAGCAGTTGTCCATCTTGGATGTAGTCATGGCTGGGCTCTTGTATGGCCCAAGGTGTATTCTTTGAAGGCATTTTTAATAAATACCTTTATTCCTTTAACACTGTCTGGCCTCTGCTCTAGGTAGCCTCTAAAGGCATCACACAAGCACTTTCCTGCCACCGTGGATTGTTGAGATGCACTGGTATGTTTTGCTATGCATCTGTAGAAATCTTTCACTCTCTGTGTTTAGAAAACTGTCTCCTAAAAGTTCCTGCACATTGAAATGTGAAATACAAGAAGAGTTACATGAATAGTTAACTTTGAGACAAGAAAAGTGGGCATGGATGCACAAGCCAAATTCCCCTGGCAGGTTTAGTTACAGATCATATAAATGTTCTTACTTCTGCAATCAAAAACAACCGGGAAAATACAACTTCAGTCACTACACGCAGAAAATCAGCAAGGCAAATAAAAGTAATCTGGGGCCACAAAAGGCCAACTTTTCTCATAAATAACGTTTTCCACAAGCGTGGTATTAGGCAATCAATAATTCTGATGTAACTGCTGTTATTATACTTAGCATCAGTGGCCCCATGTGCACCTCATGAGGCTCAA